TATCACAAAAAAAAAAAAAAAAAAACGGTAAAAGGTAAAAGCTCTTTTCTCATTAAAAGTTACAATAAAAGATTCCAAATTTCACAACAGTTTTATAATTGAGTTTGTCACCTGCCGAACTAATCCATAGTCCGTATTTTACAACTTTATTAATAGACCGTGTCGTGCATCCGACAAACGAAAAACAGAGGGAACAAAGAAACCATTTCTTTTAAATTCAAGTTTGAAATGTTTGAAATTTCAAGTGGCGCGAGCATGTAATGTAGTTGCGTAATCGATCCAAGTAAAGTCTGGAGTTTATCGAATTATCGGGGAGTTGCGAGGTATGCAAGAATGGGATTGCGAAATCGGGAGGGGGAGAGAGGTGTAGGCGCCGTGGCTTCGATTTTGAATTCAACAGGCAGCAAGCAACGTTCCCAGCCAACGTTTTCCCATTTTTCTGTCCACCCACGCGGGGGGACGTATTGATTCAGCGAGTTCAGTCAACAGGTAGCCTACGCTTTCACCGCACCGCGTCGCACTGTGCTCCACACAGACAACCGATCTCTTCATCTCCGATATTTCCTGTGGCGTCACGACGCCCTCGCCGCTCTATCTCTCCCGCCGCGCAACTCTAGAAACTCGATTTCCACCGGACTTTCTGTTTCTCGCTCGCTAAATGCGCGAACGATGAGGGGGGAGGGGGGAAGAAAATCGCGTTTTTATCGCTCGTCGATCGCGATTTTCTTTCTCATCAGTCTCGTCGATTTCCTGCGAACTTTTTTTTCAGGATTCGAAGCGAAGTTCGAAGAGGAATTGGCGGTAATTTGGAGTGGCGGAGATCGTGCGATTTCGTGGACTTTTGCTAAGCTTCTTCTCAATGATTTGCGAATGTTTAAGAATTTCTAGGAATCTTTGTTGTTGCACGCTTTTAAGATTCCAGTCGCGGAGTCTGTAAGTTCGTGGATGTCGCGTAATGTCTGTTGTGTCTACGATTTGTGAATTCCTTGGACTTTTCTAATCTCCTCCCTGGCAATATCAATTTCTCGCGAGCACGAAAATCTCAAAAATCCCCGAAAATATCAAAGATTCAGGTAAATATCTTAAAAAACTTGAAAAAAAAAAACGTCCTTAACTTGTATTACTATTATCCATCAGTAAAAAAAAGCGCCATTACATCAAAAAAAAAAGGAAAAGAAAAAATAATGCACCAGTAATACTCAATATATGTACAATTATAATACAATTAATGAGTCGTACGAGGTACAATTGAATTTCATGCGATTAATATTACAAATTGAAATGATAATCCGAGTCACGTGTTACTCGTTAAAAATTCACGGCCGTTCAATTATTTGCGAGTGGCATTCTGAATCCAGTTGTCGATCTGTGGACACAGCGACGAAACTGGCTGAGAAATCTCGACCGGCCTCGCATTTTCCTACACGCGCTAGCCATCCTCTGCCCTCGTGACCTTCCACTTTTCCTTTCTTCCTTCTCCTCTTTCTTTCTCCTTTTTTATTTTTACGCGAGCGACTTTCTCAAAAGGATCACTTGCCGCGTGATGGAACGATCGAATGCCCCAAGGGTCGCGAGGGGGCGATCTTCCGATATCCGCACGGTGCCAATCTTATTCCCTTCGAGTCGAGTTTTCTCTCTTCTTGGAACATCTCGCTAGATTCTTCCATCTCTTTCTCCATTCCTTCTTTCTTCTCTCTCCCATTTCTTTTTTCTTCCTTTTCTTTTTTTATTTCACGAATGATGACACTGTACGACTGTGTCCCAGGCAGTTACAGGCAGATTTCGAAATGTTTACGAGACTCGGGAGCTTTTTAATAATTTGCGGGGTCGCTCCTTTGAGAGTGATTGCTGTTCACCATGTTGGATTTAATCAGAAGATGCTATGATATGCAATATTTTTTTCTTTCCTACTCTTTTTCTTCGAGTGAAGACAGCCGTGAGGAAGATCGATTTTATCGATGTTTGACGTATTATGTTATAACATGATGAATTCTCGGGAGGTTCTTTTTGAAATTTGATTTGAATTAGGATATCAATCAAATTGTATATAAAAAAAATGTTTTAAATTAAATAATGAAATATTTCAAAAGCTTACTTGCTTTTAATATTTATTTTATCGTGACTGCGTTATATAGCATATTGAATTTATAAGAATCTCGTTTTTGAAATTCGGAGAATCGTTTAACGTAACTCAGAAATATTTTGTTATATTGTTTTAACTACAAGCGAAGAAGACGTAGCAAGAGAGCTGATTGATTTAATAGTTGAATTGATGGATTGTCAGAAAATTTTAAGAGACCGAATCATTGAATAACTATGAAATACATTAATCAAGTTCTATTAGATAAAATGGCCAAATATCCCAGTGGTGATTATAATTAAATGTTCTGCCACGTTTGATAATTCTGTTGGCACGTTGGTCTCGATCATTAACTAAATTTTGGCGGAGTATTTATTTGCTTTCAACCTCCGAATATTAAAACATAATCGCCGGTGATTTCAACAGTAAATCGTATTTCCATCATATTAAGCGCCTAAATTTCGCTTCGTTCGTACGTTGATTAATAAATGAAAGATTTCACCAATTCGACAGTGAAAAATAATCGGTTTGCTACATAAACTTTCATTTGTTATTTTACATGCATTATTTCAGTTTATTTTATTTATTTGAATGTTAAATCGCATCTCCATTATTTGATATTCCAAGCGTAGCTCAGTCTAATTTTACTTTTCATCTCGTTTATTGTATTTTTATTGAATTTTAAAGTATCATAATTGTAATTTACAATTTACATAAATTATAGACGAATCGTTGTTCGTTGGATTTGTAATTTATAACGCAGTCCAAAATTCGCAGTAAAATCACTCTCGAAACATTAAATGAGATTGTTACAACACATTTATAACATTAAATAACCTTATATTTGCTAATCAATGTGAGATTTAATCCATTGTTCGTAATTCACATTTTTTAATTTCATTTTTCATTTCGCTCGTCTCGCCTTGTTTTGAACAAGTGAAAAATAAAAGATCACCGAGGAATATGAATTATGAGTGTTTGATTAAACTTCATTTCGATTAATAAATGACAGATTATTTCAAACCTTTCAGTCACGAAATCATAAATTTAAAATTAATAAAAATATTTATTTTGATCTTCCCCCCGCACAAAATGCGTTTCCACGCGCTAAAGCCTGCAAACACAAGTTACATTTCCAAATATAATTAATCTCACTCTTTGAGAATATTAACGTCGCAAATAAAGTGTCTATATTTATTCAAGAGAGCACGCTAATGTCAATATCAAGATATTAATGTCATAAATAAAATATCATAAATATCTATTTACTTTCGTAATATATTTCTTTTGAAGTGCTAACTTTCGAGCTGAGGTGTCTGTATATTATTTAAAACTATACGAAATCATTGTCCGCAAACATCTTAAAATGTCTATCGAAGCGTTTAGAACGTAGACTCTGTTTCTTTTGCGAGAGGAGATTTAATAAATGTTCCTGTGCAATGAGTTCTTTGATATCTGTTCTATCAAGGCATAATTAAGAAAGGAAATCATCTTGTCTTGCTATTTTTATAGACTGTGGGGATAGAGGTGCGGGTAACCAACGAGGTGCCGACCAGCACTACAGAGGAGAACGCGATAAAAGATGCAGCACCACCTTGGACGACGATGTCCGTACCCAACAGTCGAACCACACCGCCAACCCCTACGAATCACCATCCCCAGTACTTATCCCCGCACGTGTTTCAAGGTCGAAATTCCCTCTGCTGCACGAATGGTAAGATTTATTTTTATAGATTTACTTATGGGGTATGTTACCGACACGTGTTCGGTACATCAACTATTAAATAAATTAGCCCCCCTTTTTCCTTTTTTTCCCTTCTTGGATTTTTACGCAAAATTATAGTACGAAGTATAGTACAAAGTACGACGTTACCTACAATCGGTGGAAATTTTATTATTTAAAAGATTCCTTGGTGGTAAAACCATGGAGGAAAATTGGAGGGGTTTTGGAAAGTTTGTCTTTATATTTCAGAATTCCCAATTTCTTGGGATCTCCAAAGTTTAGATTTTGCTATTCTAGATACAATTGTCTAGACAGTTTTGGAAATATATTGCACTACACGCAACGTTGTATCTGTATAAATTATTGCGAAAAGTATTTTTATCAAAATTGCATGGTTTTTAATTTCCATCTACTATCTGATCTGTTCCATGCGTAGAAAACTAAAGGTGGGATTAAACAACGTGTCGGCGTAAAACTGTGTCAACTTGAACTCTATACATACGTAATACATGTACATGTACATACACAGCGAACAGTGTTAAGCTCAACGTTCATTCTATATAACGCATGATATCTTCAGGCTGTGAAATTCACTGAAAGAAGAGAAATGAAATTTCACATAAAATTACCTTTTTCTCCATTTATATAAAGTCAAAAAACTACTAGATCAATATTAAGTAATTCTATTAGATATTTTATCATTCTGTTAGGCGTTTGATTATTTCTTCTGTGACGTCGAATAATTTTAATCGCGTCCTTCAACACAGTTATCCATCCTCCGTTCGTTTTTCCTTGTTTATCTCATATTGATTCGATTAACCAATCGAAGGAAATGCAATTATATCCATCGACGTTGACTATTCGCATTCACTACCTATTAGTTCAAATTATCGTGTAACTTTCGGATAAATCAAGAGCCGTTGATTCAATTACCAGATTGGAAAATACGAGTCAACACAGTAATACGCGATGAAAACGAAAAAGAAGGACAAAAAGCATCGATCAAATCATTACGATTCAACGAGATTAAATTTCAGCCGTTACGAGTCGTATTGATAATTGTTCCCGATAAATGGGCCATTGTTAATTTAATCTTTCCAATTACTCGAGATTATACAGCTAACTTGAAGTATTTCTCAACCTAGCTCAATTTCATTTCATTCGAGCTTCAAAGATTCTGCTTCTCCGCTAGTCTTATGAAACAAAATTGTAATTAAACGCAACGAATAATATCAATGAATACTTTCTCGTTTCAGATTACACTCTACGCCGAAGACGTCCCATGACGCTTCGAATTGGTCCACGTTTGAGCCTACCAAATAAGAGCACATCGGCTCCAACTACCACCACCGATGGGGAATGGCCAGCATTAGGGTAAGTGATGATCACTGTCAAGTTTATCCTCTCGTGGAATCAACATTATTACCAAACATTGATCCACTTCGATTTGGATCGTCGAGTGAAGGCGTTACGCTCCTTTTCTTCCATTTGGAGGGATATTTTCTTTCTTTCGTCAAGTGATAGATGACGATTGATTGCTCTTAGCGTACGGCGCCGACAGTTGCATGCTGTGCAATGCAGAAACATGAAAAATATTCCTTAAAATGAAAAAAAATAACTGATATATTAAACTAGATTTTTTATTTTGAAATTAACATGAAACATTGGGAAGAAAAAAATTGTTATAACGTATCGCAGAAATTTGTATCTATTTTACCATAGCTTGATATTTCTGTGGTGCCACACACGAGGTTTGCGTCTATGATTTCTCTAAAGATAACTCGGCTTTGTATTGTGAAGGTTTCTGCAATATCAATATCTTTTATCCTCGTTCGAAAATATCGGTTTAGAACATTTCTACCGGCGGTTAGTTCTCGACATATACGAGTTACCGGCTTTATCGACGGTCGTACGGAAGTAATCTGTATTTTCCGCAGTTGGTGAAAAACTGCTGGTAAAAAATTACACTAGATAGAAAAAATCACCAGATCTGTATATCTTAAACACTTCGATACAATTCTAAAATATAAAACCAGTTCCTGAAAATTTCACGTTTATTGAGAAAAGAAATGACTCTCAGATAACGTTAAATTTCATCAACGGGATAAAAGAATAGGAATTTTCTAAAATGTTAACTGTTTATTAAGAATAAAAGACTGAGCTATATTGCTTCCAGCTAAAGAATCCACATTAAATTTTTCCTAAATTTCCAAATATTATGACCATTCTATTTTCCAAAATTAAATAAATTCCATTGTGACGAAACTATTTCTGGTCTAAAATTCCAAGCGCTAATTCTAATTCTATTCTGTTTCAAAAATTCGAAGCTTTCGAATATTATTTTTCCAACAAGAACGTGCCCAGCCACCACCTCTTCCCGACGTGTTTCCTTACGTAGTAGCACGAGGTCGTGGCGACGCGTGGCGCCGCGACGCAGCCACCCCTCGTGGTTCCTCCGTTTCGCAGGTTTTGTTGTGACCGCGACGGCTTTGTCGACAGTCGCGCGTGATTGCGGCCGAGCAGTGCGGTCTTACGACACGCTCCCATTTCAAACAATCGCGTGTGCCGCGGCTTGCGCCATTCTTTCGCCCCAATACCCTCGCAACAATTATTTCCAACTCCTTTCACGATCCACCCGAATCCGATTATTGTTATTAACAATAATCTCGTTCACTTCCACCCTGAGAAAGTTCCACCCTCAAACCACTTCAAACTATTCAAATCTGTGGTAGTCTAGAATCTTCCGCTCAGATAGACACGTGCCCGTCGAGAGTAACGCGAAAACGCGATTACGTGAGTTTTCTGCACTCGGTGAAGCCAGTTTTACACGATGACAGTCCGGTATAAAGTGACATCAGACATCAGTGTGGTTTTATCGGACAGTTTGCTGGTGTTTGGACGTGAACGATGATTGTGACGTGTTTGTGGCTTGGGCTATGAGTGACAGGGGTCATCGCGAAGACGTTTAGCGTCAATGGACAGGCTTCCACGTGGCGATACGACAATTGGCGAGCAACAGATACAGATGACTGATGTCGACAGAGCTCTCTCGGGAACTTGGAAAGAGTCTGGTGTAAATGGAATTCTCTTTTGTGGAAAGCTGTGAGCCATTTTTCGATGGTCCTTGTGATGATCTCAATGAGGTTTCATTGAGGTGACAGACTTTTTTTTGAAAGCAAACATTAAATATAAGAATTTTTCGAAGATTGAGATGGTTTTAACGACGGTGTGGTGTGGATAGTGAGCTTTTCTGCAGCGACAGATATTTTTTTGAAAGTCATAGACATTGAGTATCACTTGGATTCGAACTTTCTGCAAATTTGAGATGTGTCTAGTGACGATTCGACGTCGACAGTAAGCGACAGATCTGTTTTGAATCAAAGGGCGTCGAACCTAAATTGGTTGGATTCAGTTTGAGGTTTTCGATAGCCTTAACGGTAGCTTCACTGAAGCTTCTTGACCCGACAGACTATTTTTAAAACCGAGAACATGGGATAATTGATTACACTTGAGACAATTCTAATCAAAGGTTTCCCAAAGTGGCGGACTGTTTCGAAGACAAAAGGCATTCAGTACAAACATATGACACCTGTTCAAAGATTTTACGTGCGATCACCATCGATCGTGAGGTTTTTCGCAAGAAGAATGAACTTTCTCCAAAATCAAGAACATTCAAATTGATTGGAACTGAATAAAAACGAATTGAGACGAGCCTAAAGATAGTCTGAAATCTAAGAAGACAAATGCGGATATTTCCAACTGATCAATCACTGATTCTACCGAATAGTGTACGTGAACGTGCGAGGAGAAAACTGTGGAGCCAGTGCCCCTGTCGATTCGAATCGATCAAGATACGCCGAGGAGAGGATCAGAGGAGAGGATCGTAGGTAAAGGATTCCCTTTGCGATGTCAAAAATTTCGGTGTCCTCGTTACAATGTCTTGAAAGGATCAGCTCTTTCATCCCGCGTTTAGCCTTTGACCGAATCAAGAATTTAGTTGGCTGATCCTTAATCCTCTTGGAGGCAACCTGTTGACGGCCAGGGGATGTGCAACATCGATGGAATTAAAGTTTCAGAGGGTTCTTGCTCGTGAACAAGATCTTCGTTTCTTGCGTAATATCGATGTAATTTCAATCGTTATTTATTCCCATTTTTCGTCCTTCGTTTCAATCTTTCTGACACATACACACACATACACGCACAATCGAGTGGAAAGTCAAACGAAACAATATCTTAACTTATTACAAATATCGCGTTGCCCCGGTATCAACGTAGGATCCATTCACGAGATTATCAAGGCTAACTTGTTGCGACGAGGACACCGAAACGTTCAGCTGGCCAAGTTGATATCGGGCCCTGGGCGGGTTTTTTTTTTTTTTTTCACGGATTTGCCGATGCCTCGAAGACCTGCAGTAGACGCGAAGGAACTCAGCCGAGCGTTTGCAAGCCACGTCACGTTATGAAATCTGCATTTGTCAGGCTTTCGCCGGCCAAGTTATTGGCCACGGCCGTCAAACAAAGGGTAAAATACCATCGTGCGGTCGCATTTAGACGTCGTTGCTCTATTCCCCAGTGATCCCTTTGTCCACCGTTTCCAGTAGAAATTGGAAATCCACCGGGTATTAATTTCTAACCAATGGAGGAATTTAATCGCGAGGTTTCTTCTCACGCACGGCGCGTAATTTCACCGATCGATCTGAAATCTCTGTGCTTTCTCATCTCGTTCCTCGAACAGAACTGTTGGATTCTTCTCCAAAAGTTGCAAAATATCATTTCTGTTTAGTTGGATGGTGTTATGGAATTGCAAAGTATCGTTTGACAGTGTAATACGTTTAATATTTATTTCCGATGGTAGACTAGTTTTCTAATAATATTCTAATAATAATAATAACATTCTCCTTATACCCGACGTGTCAATTAGTTCATCATTAATTTCGCGTCTGCGACGAGCGAAGTGGAATTTTTATTTTTTCGAACGACAAGTATAATTACGCAAATTTATTATAAAGCAAGTAAGCAAGGTTCCAAGCGACAAACTTTCCATGAAATGACCGCGCGTGTTCGTTATGCTAATAATCGAGCGTTGCAACAGCGTTGAAATTTCTTTTTGCGTCGCGAGATTACAAAGTGCGGCAGCGTTCGTGACAATTTTCTTCGTCAGACAAATCTCTGGCCGCGAATACGCTGATCGAATCGTCGTTACATACATCTTTCTCATCTCGTGGAAAACTGTCCTTGACGTCGCGTCCGTTTGATCGAATATTTCGCAATTCGAAAATTCGCTGGATCGATCAGCACGACGATTTTGCAACTTCCAATTTCACACTGCGAGGGAGAAGCGGATCGTCGCGCGTGATGATTATAACCTGTGTTCTTCTGTTGCTCTCTCGAGAGGAGAAGTTTTTATAGTTAACGCGGCTAGAAGCATCTTCGCTGTCGCAGATTCGCCCCGTGGGTCTTATTTATTACGTTTAATATCGCTGGGTATGGTCTCTCGTTTTATGGTGTGATTTAAAGCGACGAAAGCTGACGTCCTTGGATTTAACGTCAACAATTTTTAATAGATCGACAGGGAAGCTGTGTTTCACGTGGAAGTGGTTTTCCGTGAAATTTCACTGACATTCGATGGGAGTGTAAAATTTTATTGAAAGGTCTATTTCTTCTCACTTAAACTGACAATTTTTAATAGCTCGAGTGTGAAGAGATTATTAAGGCAGTATCGATCTGAAGATTTCGCGAATATTCACATAATGACATCCAATTTTATACTAAATTATACTACTTGAAGGCTAAGAAAAATGACTAAATTGAAAGTAAAGACTAAAAAAAAAAATCTTCGTTGATTCTGAGAAGAAGAAATTATTGCAATTAAATCCGAGCTGGAAATTTAAGGAACGATGAAATTCGAAGTTATTTGAAATGAAAGAAACTCGAGGTCACTCTAAGTGAATAAATGAACCATCGAGCGAGGTTAAACGAACGAGCTAAGAGTGGAAGTCGTGCTTTATTAAAATTGAAATTCGGAGAACCTGTGTTCTGAATTCCAAACACCGTCGTGCATTTATTAAAGTTCAAACTGGCGACACAGCGGGCGCACCTCCGCACCGTGTGATCCCGGTTTAAACACACGGTTTACACACGAAGTTCAGCCAAACAAACTTTCCCTCTCGGGATGACCTAACCGGCGGCAGCGTTTGACACTTACGCGCGGAACAATGGGATTGAAAAACAAAATTTACCGATATCTCTAAATATAGTCAGCGTGGACATTGAATGGTCAAAGACATTTTTTTAATTTAACTGACACGACCGAGCCACCGTGAACTGTGGACCCTGCGAATCATCCTAAAAATACGTACGGACTTTCCGCCAACTAAC